CATATATACTTACATGCTGTGTACTTTGCGCTTTTTATTGGTACAAATGTCTGTCTGATAGACAGATGGATGGATGGATATAAATGAATTTGTAGAAGCTTCAATTATACATACCTAAGTATTATATCATTTCATGAATGCTAGACAGACGATGAGAATTTATTTGATTTAAATTTCAAAAAATTAAGTTTTTGAATTCTCTCATTTTCATTACCTTTATTACCTTTCTTTCGTTAATGTATAAATGAAATGAAATGAATGATAAGAATTTGAAGTTAAAAAAATGATTCTCTTTTCAACATTAAAATATTCTTTAAATAAATTGACTATTTCTTTCTTTCTTTCTTTCTTTCTTTCTTTCTCTCTTTCATTCTTTTTGCATTATCATTTCATTCATAAATTATTTGATTAAAATATAATTAAACTGATAATTTCCATCTTATTAATATCATTTTAATTTTATTTGTAAATTAATTTGTGATTTATCTTAAAGAGGATAGCATAATAAAATTTAACAAATAATATATAAATTTATCGTTGAAATGAATTAATCAATGAAATAATAAATTGACATTTGTTTTTGTTTCTTTTTAAGCCTGGATATTTCAATTTAACATCCGGAAGTGGCTGCCAAGAATGTAATTGTGATATCCTTGGTAGTGTTAATAGCACTTGTGATGTGTTAACCGGGCAATGCTTGTGTAAACCAGGTGTGATGGGACGCAGGTTAGTTTCTTTTCTTTTTAACTTTGAAATTCTATTATTTATTTTTTACTCACCATTTCGATTAATTAATTGTTACTTGATTATTTCGGTTTCCTTTTTGGAGTTAATTTTTTTCCGGTTATACTCCCTCTTACAATACACACACACACATATATATCAATATATACACTACTACTATATACATGTACACTACTAATATATATATATACACTATTACTATATACATATACACTACTACTATATACATGTACACTACTAATATATATATATATATATATATACACTATTACTATATACATATACACTACTACTATATATACATATACACTACTATAAATTAAACATGGTTAAATATCTTCTTCATTTTAAATTTATATTTTAACTTTAAAAAAAAAAAGATTGTGTTAGGAAAATATTTCTCTCTGGTTGTTGAAAAAATTTGATTAAAATATTCGTAAGATCTACTACCACTGCGATACACATTGTTTTGGATTATAAAATTTTTAATTAATCAATAAAAATAATTGAAAGAGAAAAAGTTGTAAAAATGGAAAGTTAGACAATCGTTGGAGAACTGATGACAAATGAAGAATATTGAAGAGTTAAGTATTATTTGAAATTTAGGAAGATATGTTTGAAAAATATTTTGCAACATTAGAGGGAAAAAATATTAGATTTTAATCTATAGGGAATTTAACTTCTAGATGATTTGTATCTTTTCTACGATAAATTTAAAATTCTTTTTCAATTAATTTCTCAATTAAAACTTCGCAATTTTTTCATTCATCTACAAAGAATCTTCAAATATTTCTTTTTCATCATTGATGAAATTTGAAAACAGGAAATGCAACACAAACTTCAATCATACGTTTGCATTTAATAATTATCATAAGTCATCTCTCTATTATCATCTGTAATTTCAGATAGTTTTTTTCTGTGAAAAAATTTTTGAAATTTTTACAACTATTGAAAATATATTAAAACAAGATTAGCAATTGTTAGAAATTAGAAATGAAATTTTAAAATGATCTGAATGATATATTAACAAATAACAAAAAAAATATTTAATGATATTGCTATTGGATTTTATTTAATGTAAATGTACTTTATGATAATTTGAAAGTGCAAAAATCAAACATAGCACAAATTTTTCATAGTTTATTTTTGTTTAATTTTCATATTCGTTTGCTGTGCAAACTATCATCGTTAATTATTTTGTTACAATGAACATTTTCATTTCTTAATTAATTAAAACATACTTCAAAAAATATTTTATATAAAAAGAAAAACGGGAACTTATTTATGAATATTTTTAATTTTTACACTGAGGAAGAGAAAAGTTTGTATACCACACTTCACTCTAAATATTCTTTTGCTAATATTAGTGAGTTGCAAATATTAGCAGATATCATCATAAGCTGCAAATATCAGTAGATATCATCGTAAGCTGCAGATAGCAGATATCATCGTAAGCTGCAGATAGCAGATATCATCGTAAGCTGCAGATATTAGCAGATATCATTGTAAACTCCAAATATTAGTAGATATCATCGTAAGCTGCAGATATTAGCAGATATCATTGTAAACTGCAAATATTAGCAGATATCATCGTAAGCTGTAAATATTAGCAGGTATCATCGTAAACTGCAAAGCGTTGTTTGATATTTTGAAGCAAAGAAATAATACGAAAAGTGCAACCCATAGAGTTCAAAGATTGGTAGAGATTTTAAATTTTTAAACTTTTTTTCTATAGCTATCATTTGTTTCTACAAAAGAAAACAATAGATAAAGTATGATTTACAGCTAACACTAATCTATCTTTTTCATTTTTTTGTTTAAATTTAATTTTTAAATTCAGTTATATATACATAAATATATACATGTCATATAAACTAAATTAAATTAAATTTATCATTAGAGCCTACAATATATACGCTCTTCTATGTCTTTGAATTGTCCATTTGTGATGATTATTATGATGAAGAATTTAGGGAAATTTTTATATTGTGAAAGTTTATAATCATTGTATGATTATAAACTTAATCAGGAATTAGAAAGGATAACATTTTTTTGCACATTCTTCAGAAAATAATTGAATTTCTTTTTATGAGACAAGATTGAGGATTTAAAAATTTCATCAAGTTTCTAATTATTGAACTTCGAAGAAGGAGTATTAAATTTTATTTTTATCATAAAGGTAAGTAGGAATTTAATTTCAGATGTGATCGATGTGAACCACAGCATTATGGTTTCGGGATAGATGGTTGTCAACCATGTGATTGTGAAGCTATTGGATCCGAATCACCACAGTGTGATGTTATTACTGGTATGTGTTCCTAATAGACAACATTTAATATTTCAGTATTAACAGTTAAAAAGTAATGAAATTATAAATAATCATCACAGGATATGATTATATCATTGTTCTGATTATTAATTTCAATTTTTGGAATGCATATGTCTTAAATTCCTTGATAACTTTATTCCTTGATAAGGAATATTCGCATTCTTTGTTACTAGCAATAATTGACTTATTCTACGGTCAGTGTTGCATGGATTACAATTTTGCGATATTTCCTCCACTCCTTCTTATTTGAATCATCTAAGCAAAAAAACGATTATTATAAATTTGAAAGTTTATAAATTTAAACTTGACAACATAATTTTTATAAATTTAAAAATTTGACGATATAATTTTTACAACGATTTTACAGCATAATTTTATTTTCTTTCTTAAAATTGAAGATATTTTACTTCAATCCTTTTTTATTCGCTACTATTATAAATCACAAAAAGTATGATAACAAAATTCTGATTTAACAACTCTGATTTCTGGCAGCCACTGACCAATTTTATGATTGAACATACACACAGAAAACTCTGTTTTAGAATCCTAATTTAAATCATATTATTTTAAAAAAACGAGTAGAAATTGTATATTTCAGGTCAATGTTTATGTCGTGATCATATCGAAGGACGACGTTGTGATCATTGCATTGAAAATCGTTACAATCTTCTGGCTGGTTGTTTACCGTGTGATGATTGCTACGCATTGACGCAACGTCGAGTGCACACATTTAGGAAGGAAATTGATATGTTGGAAGATACTCTGAAAGAAATTGTCGAAAATCCTGCGCCGGTTGTTATATAAATTTATTTAGTCTAATATTTTTTCCACTCATTAATTATAACTATCTCAGTTAAAGGTCGTGTTTGTGACAAGAGTTGCTAAATTTTTCATTTATTGGATAACATTCCTTTTTCAGTACAATTTTAAAATTTTCAATTTGTATTTTAAATCAATATAATGATTTTTTTCGTCCGTTAATTGTTAATCCATTAGTGGCATTAATTCATGTTATATAATGGATGATATAATTTAAATTGTTAGGGTAGCTTATTTAACATTTCAATATAAAGTATTTAATTAGGTACTTTGATCGAAAAGCTACCACATGAATTAGATAACTGCTCGAGTAACTTAGGATAGTTGTTGAAATTTTTTCAAAAAATCTACGAACAGTTTCAAAAGTGTGTTAATTTAAATCTGATAATATATATTTGTTAAGAAAGTATCTTTTTTGCAGGTTGACGATGTGGAATTCGATAATTATGTCAAAGCTGTCAGTACTGAAATAGAGGATTTAGCTGGTGTTGTAAACAAAAAATTAGGTAAATTAGGAGTAATTTGTTTTATTCTCCTATTACAAATTCAAAAATTCCATAAATTTGTTTAATGAGAAATGGTAATTATTGACAGCATGGTACAACTATCCGCTAGACAGAGTTGATATTATTTCCCTATCTGATCTTATTGATTAAGTATGATGTGCTGAGAAATATTTTCTAAAAAACACAATTTTACTAAACTTTGACATTTTTTTAGATAATTTAAGGATATTTTCAGCTGGTGGTGATTCGCAGATTGTAGGACAGGTAAATTTGGTTAGGAGCGATTTGGAGAATGCACTGAAACTGTTAAATTCGGTTGATGATGTCATCAGTAAAGCAGATAACAAGGCAACTATAATAAATGAAACATTGAAGCAGTGGAGTTTAATTAAAGGTTATCCTTCAATAATTAACTGAATGAATTAGGTGGTTTAATGCATTTCAAAAAACGTTGCAACATTTACATCAACAATGACAATAATGATTTGATAGACAATAATGTATTTTTGAAGTGTCGTTTATTTTAAAATATCTTTTGATATATATCTTTTTCTTTATCTATATTTATAAGTAAAGGTTTGTGTAGAAAAAAATAGTTGTATAGTTGTACTGTAACTAATGTGTATAAGTAAGTTTGCATATTTTTCTAAGAGTTAAATGCTTATGCTTTAAAAAAAGGGAAAAGGTCAAGATTGTATAAGCTAAAGTAATGATTTTTCTGAATCAGAAGAAGAAAGTAAGAGAACTTTTTCTCCTCATTCAAGTAGCTTATATTAAAATTGAAATTTATAGAACGAGCACGAAGTGATTTAGAAAATGCACTCTATTATTTGGAAACTGAAGGACAAACACAATGGGAATTGGCACAAGAAGCATCCAAGAAATATGGCGAACAAAGTCAGCAGGTAGCTTTTGTATTATTTTAAGAACTGTTAGGCATTTTTTCGAAATTAAATTTCTTTACAGATGAATTTTTTCTTTTTAAGTAGCAAATTTTTTCTTTGATGTTCGCATTTCCATCATTGGAGGGCATTGTTTTTTGTTAATTTTAATGTCCATTATAAAGAAAAGATTTTCAGTTATCAGAAATAGCGCAAGAGGCAAGAAAATTAGCTGAACAGCAAGAAAATCGTAGTATCGAAATTGAAGCGTTGGCTGAGAAAATTGCAAATTCTTCTAAACAGGCGCTTGTTGAAGCGAAAGAAGTGATCTTTGGAGGTAAATATGAAATAAATGTAAATTTCCTACATGTGAAATTGATAATTATTAATGTGTTTTTTTTCATTAAAGTCACTGATCCAATTATTGGATGTTTTGGTGATAGACATAATGTATTGTATGTTTTATCTAACCATATCTGTAATTCAGTTTTATACTAATATTATTAATCATTTTTTTGTTATTTTGAGTGGCGAAATCATTGGAAGAAACTTTAACAGCAGTGATTGGATCTCTTTTTTTAAACTTAAGCTAAGCATTGTTTAAGTCAACCAATCAACATTTAAGGATTCCACTAATGATTATTCCTTTTGTTATTCGAAATAGTTATTATATCATGTTGTTGTTACTAAGCCAACTATTAAAAACATTTGATTTAAACACTTGTTTGATAATAAGTAAGTATTTTTTGGAATTAGATTGTCGGGAAACTTCTTCCCATTGCTTTCCTTTCGTTAATATTATCCAGTGATATACGATTGGATTTCACAAGTGTAAAAGTTAAATTACAACAGCTAAGTATATTTAGGTGATGCTACTAGCAAAGAAATTGCCATTATGTTGGAGCGTTTAAATGCAACTGAAAAACTGTTGAATCAAACACGTAAACTAGCTGAGGAACAATTAATGGAAGCGGATCGTGCATACAAAACAGCTGCAGAAAGTTTGACAGCTGTTGAGGGTTTACGATTACCAAACATTGATCCACAACAAGTTAGTTCTTTCGTGTAAACAATTAGGAATAAATAAATTCAGTTTATGAATTAATACTATACTCCCGTATTTCCAGTATTCATTCTAGATTTGGAGATTTATGAGCATCTTAATTTTAATTGAAAATATTCTTTAACTGAATATTGGTTTAAGTGGTATTACTTGTACTTTTTTGTTAATATTAGATTGAAGAAGAAGCTAAGCGAGTCGCAGATGATGCTCAAGCAACAGCTGATAATGCTAAGGAACAAGCAGCCGCTAACAAACAATTAATAGATGAAGCAGTACGAATAATTGATGAAGCAAAATATGAATTACAAAGGGTTCAGGATCAACAAAAAGTAATTTACTTAAATGCCGATGTCGATTTACCTTTGATTTTTGTTGATCTGTACAAGTACAGGTACTGCACGAAGTACCAAAGCTTATCGTTCAGTATCTACATAAAGTGTCTACATTCAGTATCTACATGGCTCTCCAGCATCTGTATCAAGTATCATAGATTATTGTCCGAAGTACCATAGATTAAGTACCACTAGTATCATAGATTATTGTTCTACATAAAGTACCATAGTTTATCGTTTAAGCATTCAGCATATAAAAAAGACACAAGTTATTCAGGTTTCGGATGAATTATTGGCTGACGTAGATGCTTCAAAGGCTCGTGCTATGGAAGCCATTTCGCTTGCAGAAAGTACACTAGCAGAAGCCCAACATACGCTAGAAATACTGAATGGTATTAAATTTTATAAATTATCTATTTATTTACCTTTACGGAGTGATATTCTTTCTTTCAAATTCAGTGGTTTAATTAGACTGTTGCAAACCTGTTTAACAAGACAAACATAAATTAGTAAGGATTTGAAGTAGAATAATGGAGTTGTAATATCGAAAGTTTTACTTCAGATTTTCAACAGCGAGTGGATGCAAGTAAATCAGAAGCAATTGAAGAGTTGAGAAATCTAAAAGAGATTGAGAAAGAAATCGCTTTAGCTGAGAATACAACTC